ATGCGTGCTATAGTCTAAACTCCTAGTATTCCCCTCAATACGCCTCATAATGCTCCCCGACACAGTCCCCCTGTGCGGAGTCCCCCTGTGAGGAGTTTAGACTATAGATCCCCTAAACCCTAAACCCTAAACCCAACCCTAAACCCTAAACCCTAAACCCAACCCTAGACCCTAAACCCTAAACCCAACCCTAAACCCTAAATCTTGAGTGCAGGACAGCTTTGGCTTCGGGGCCAGAAGTGTGAATCTGTCCATCAACGTCGTGCTTGGAATCCTCTTCTGTGCCTCTGCTTCTCTTGTTGAGGAACGGAAGTTGACTTGGTTCTTAGTAGGGAATAAGTTTAAATGAATAGAACCCTTATAATTGTAATCCCTATATAGTACATTCTCATCTTTCCTGCTAAGAGCCAGCCGCCTGAACACCTGGCGACTACCAGCGTTGGGTAGGTCATGCGACTCTTCAAGCACTGACGGCGGACAGGTGCCCCATGAAATCCCCGGTAAAAACAATTCTTGCAGCCTATTGTATGCGGCGGATTGCAGAGGCTTACGTACATCTGAAGGAATCTAGCTTCATGTGCCTGCTAACGGCCTGCCAATATTGCGACCTGTTTCTAGTGCATTGGTGGCACTTACTTGTATGTAGCAAAGTGGCCGCTGATCTGTGGTCAAAGCATGATGGCACAATGAGCTCCCGCATGCCAACTCAGGTAGCATCTCGCCGGTAGTGCCTGTGCGGGGCCCTCAGGTTTCAGAGGTCTAGCGTGTGCTGGCGTGAGTTGTGGGGTTTGGCTGCGTACATGTTGCTCATGGGATTCAGTGTCATGTCTAGGCTATGAATATATTGAGAGCGGTGTCTCCATAATCGGAGGGCTTCCTGGTGACAAGCACGGAAGCATTTGTATGCACGAGATTTCTATTGTTGTTATGCATCTTGCTGAGTATGAAAAATGGAGCTCGCCCTGTCAGGTTGGCCATGGTTGACTGCTTACTGGCTCGCCTCATCTATGGTTACCTTGTCATCTACACGGACACCTGGTGTGGTCATAGATGGGGTTATGTTGGGATAATGGAAAATAAAATGGAAACTATTACAATGGGTGTATATATAGGGGTTATACAGGCTCATATTATTGGGGTTATATTGGGATAATGGAAAATACATGGAAACTGCATAGTATATTATCCCGCATTCCATTTGGACTTTTTTTATACTGGAATTTGATTTGTCTGTTTCGACTTAATACCTCATCACTAGACCGTATACGGACCACCACGTTCTGGTTGTCATCAAACGCACCTCGAGTACAAGAAATTAGGGGCACCCTGATGGGGGTCCGGGGTCCCCACGATAGGGATGAGCATTTTGGGGGCCATATTGAGGTTTCCCCCATTTCAGGAAACTACCAGATGTGCACAACACTGCTGCTTTCAGCATGTTCAGCGTTACCTGCCATGTGAGTGTAGGATGCATTTCTAAGGAGGAGTCATTCACCTTTGAAGTTGTCGATCACACTGCGGTGGATACTAAACAATCCTGCGTGACCCTAAGTACCCTAAACCCTTGGAAATGATGGTACTATAGACTACTATGATCATGCAGGATTTTGTGTATCCACAGTAGGGTTACGCTCACGTCGATGTGAACAAAGTCAAGTCCGCCAAGGTCTCCATAAGACAGGCTGAGAATATTAGGATGCCGGAGACAGCAGGAGTCTGAGCATGTAGCGCCCCATGGGAGAAATCATCTTCAGTTTTGTCGGATGGTTCTCTGTTTTCAGGTGTGTATGCTACTGGAGAAATTGACCAACATGTCTAAAGTGCATTTTTGCACACACCTTGCCCCTTGAGGCATAGCTGGGTTGTCCGGGACAATCTAGTGCAAAACTCACTGAAAACTACGACTCATCAGCCTTGAACCTTCAGAGGCAAAATAGAGACTGGAGCCATTCCACATCATCACGTATGGGGTTGCTGCTGCGTTTTAATGCTGGACCTCTGCCCCGCTTCTGCACGTTGTGCAAGCCTCGCCCAGTGCTTTGGGGCCCAAAAAGTGGAGCCTCGGTCTGAAGCCCTCCAGAAGACAAGACCCTCCTTCATTTGAGCTGTAGTCTAAGCTCCTTAAACAGGGTTATGCCGGGGGATTATATAGGTGAGTATCATAGGGGTTGTTAATGGGCAATGCTAGGAGTTAAGTCTATAGCTCATACCGGATCCTTCAACAGAAAAGGAAGACAAGAAGCCAGATCTTGGTGGCGCGTCCCCTGGCCTAGAATCATTCAGTTCCCAAGGATCCTCCAAGGTCCTATAGAGGGTTTAAGGGTTGGGGATTAGTGTTTAGGATTTTGGGTTTATGATGTAGGGTCCGGGACCTAGCATTTAGGATTTAGGGGTCAGGGCTTAGGATTTGACTGTTTTGATTATCAGGTTCCAACTAGATTGGGTATCCAGCTGCTTCTTACAACGGTGCCGCAGATATGGCAACCATCCAAACCTCTTGCTACAACCCAAAAGCCTCAGCCTCAACATCTGGAAGATGTTTAACAATTTCTTACAAGCGCAGGCAAGAAAACTTCAAGGGGTCAAGCCCAATTTGTGAACTGATTTCGGCATCGCGCAAGACCTTTCTAAGATCTTGCGCAGAAAGTCTTCTTTTGTTTATTCATTTGGCTTCTGAGAGCGGAGGAAAGTCCTGAAACCTAAGCCCATCAAACCAGACAAGGCTGGAAATGAGGTGTGTTCCTATTCGAGAGCGTGGAAGGAGCCTTGCTGCGGCTCAACAAGTTAAAGTGCTGGCAAGAAACACGCAAGTTACAGCCAGGACCAAATCAACCTCTCTCAAGACGTCACAGAGCAAGGGGTGTAGGGTTTAGGTTTAGGGTTTAGGGTTTCGGGCAAACTGCATTTTCGGAAGCGGAAGCTGGTGGGTTTCGACCTGGATAACGCGGGGACCTAGAGAGATTACCAGCATCGTGATGTACAATTGCTCCTGATATCAGCGTGTAAGGTACCTCGAATAGACCTGAAGCTGATGTCGGTAATTATTTAGGACCCCATAATCCCGTAAGCCCCCTGTATAAGCCCAGTCTCCAGTTCATCTCCCATGTTCTTTTCCATTTTAACCCTATATACACTCATGTATTCCCCAAACCCTTAGTCGTGGTTTCTTTCCATTTTCTTTGCCAGTATCCCTATATAGCTCTAAACCCCAACCCTAAACCTCAAGCCTTAAACCCCAAACCCTAAACCCAAACCTTAAACCCTAAGTCCCAAACCCAAAATTCTAAACTCTAAACTCTAGTCTCTGACACAGAGGTTTTGGGTCACGCAGCTCGGACACATCCACTTGGCCCTAGCTCTCTATGCCATCCTCATGGCCCATTGGCTGGGTTTGGGGTTTAGGGTTTGGGGTTTAGGGTTGAGGGTTTGGGTTTATAGGGTATGGGGCTTAGGATATGGGGTTTAGGGTTTGGGGTTTAAGGCTTAGGGGTTGCTCTGTTCCCACAAATGATTTCTCATTATTTTGGCATAACCCCTCTTCCTTAGCCATAAGTAGGCATAAGCATTTGAGTTTTAAAGGGCCCCTAAATCTTCCCAGTATGGGCCATATATAGGTATCAGGTATTGCAGGGATAGTAAGTAGGGCATACGCTGTTTCACTCAGGGATTGTAGGGGATTCTGGAGGTTTCCAGTTACGGTGACTCAGAGTTTCTGTCAGTTTTTGGCTTAAGGTATACGGTTTTAGAGCTGAGGGTTTAGGGATAAGGAAGGCATACGAGGTCGTTGTTCAAGGTCATACTCTTTACGCACTTCTTGCTGCCGACTCGAAGTCAGTTGAGTTTAGGGTTTAGGGTTTAGGACTTGATGGTTGTCCTAGTCTCAGTTTTGTTTTTCCGGTGGCGATTGCATACTCACATCTTGGCTTGTTTTGCAACAAACCTACTTTCCGGAGCAGGTGTTGCTGAAGCATGAAGGGGCCAGATACCCGAAACCCTAAAGCCTAAACCCCCAAACCCTTAACTCCGACCCTAAACCCTAAACCCCACAACCCTCAGCCCTAAACCCTTAACCCAAAAACCCTAAGCGCCACGAACCTTAGCCCTAAACCCTTAACCCCAAGCCCTAAACTTTAAACCTTTTGGCAAGGTCGGAATCCTCCAACTACGGGGGTCCTCGAGGCCGCTGGGCCATCAAAGGATCTTAAACTTACCTTTGGTTAGATGGGACTGAAGTAATCGATAAGAAGATGGAAGCTACTATAGGGTTTAGGGTTTGGGATGGGAATGAAGGAATGGAAAAGAAGATGGAAGCTACTATAGGGTTTAAGGGTTAGGGTGGGAATGAAGGAATGGAAAAGAAAATGGTAGTTATTATAATGGTTTACATAGGGACTACTATAAGCATTCATTCCTTCATTCCTAGCTAACCAAAGGTAAGTAAAAGGGGAGTCCCCGGGCGCCTACTAGGCCCCAATGGCCCGAAACCCCTTCAATCGTCTTATCAGGGTCCATGTACCTCTGTAGTATACACTTAGGTCCCAAAGTACCTGTGCAGGAACCCCTTTGGGCCCGAAGTATATACTAGATGGGTACATGGACCCTTTGTGTAAAGGGCTTGCATAGGCCTCACGGGGAGTTTGGTTTTGGGGCAGCAGGGCCCCGAACAACCCTAGGAGATGAGTCAGGTTGCTGCAAAGCTTCTTGCTTTTTATAGAAGACGCGAGCATACGGCAGATGTCTTTAGACCCTTTTCTTCCATTTGTTTCCGTTGCTCCTGTTTCACGATGAGGACGGCTCAAAGCTTTGGTCCAGCAATAGGATGAGCGAGGGCTGGAGGATACGTTCTGTGGCATTAGCTATGAGGACTTGCAGCAAGTAGGCTGACAAGATTCGTCGACATGACTTGTGGCGTGTATGTGTGGTGTCTTGCCCAACTGACAGGGCGCATGCCTTTGCTGTGAAGATGTCACAGTTCTTGCTCAGATGGAGGTGTGCCAAAGAGGAGACTAGAATACCACTTGTAGCTGGTCGCGAAAGTAAGCAAGGGCTTGCAAAGATTTATGCAAGTCGATCGCGGGAAGCAGAGTTCCCCTGCGATTACCACCGCGATGCAGCTCTATGCTCCCGAAGCACCATAAATCCAACAAGTTTAGTCAGTTTAGTTTGATCATAGATGCGTACACTACATAATATCAAGATTCCTTCAATGGAAGCAAGGGATACTGACAGACGTGAAAATTGTCACATTCCCGAAAACCCCAACCCTAAACACATTACACTTGAATTCTTTGAGTTGCTTTATTGATGCGAGGGGACCACCTTTTTCGCCTGCCTTCATTGCTGGATGCAGCCTCGTGTGCCTGGGAACGGAGACTGCGGATTTTTTAGATGTGGGATTTGGGGTTTGGTGAGTGGCTGCTTTCAGGTAGTTTTTTTATTGGAGCTCACGTCGGATCACGTTGCAACTGTGGCTTACTCAGGCTTACTCAAGTTAAATGACAAGTCAATTCTTCCTCTGTTTTCTATTACAAAACAGACATCTTTCAAACCTGGCTCGTTTCCTGGTGACATTGCAGTAGCAGTTTCTTTCTACACAGGCCGCGGGGTTATGGCTTTTGCGGGCCCGTTTTCAGCAGCAGCGATGTGGATGACAGCCTGCAGCAAAGATTCCGGCAGCCTGACATCACCCAGGCTAGGAAAGGGTTGCCATAATCCGTATGGAGTTACAAAATCTGATATATGGCTCAGGTTCCTAGGGCGGAACCTCCCAGATTTGGGTTGGACCAAGGCATGATGTATGTCGGTTATAGCTGCTTATAGGTCATGCCTGCTTGGACCTGTCTTAACAGAGAACACCGACTGCAAACATCATTTAGGGTTCCCTTACTAACCTCGCCCCTATACTACCACTCTTGAGTTACCCCTGAAGTGGGGGGAACACATCAACCCCTGAAGCCTAAACCCTAAACCCTGCCTCAAAGTCGCTCACACCTAGGGCCCACCGGGCTTGCAAAGCATTTGAGCAGGAGACGTTTAAGCCTACATCAAAGCAGCAAAGTAAGGTACATCCAAGACTACCTTACAAGGTTTAGTTTAGAGTTTAGGGGCATGAAGCAGCATTTCCATTCCACAGTTGTTGCCGACCTTGTTTTTGTTAAAGCTACTTGGTTGACTGGCGGTGAATGCTAAGGTTCGTCCTGTGGTCAACCATCCGATTCCGACAGCAGTTCAGGCGCTAGGGTTCAGGTTTGAGAAGTTTTTGAATGGCAAGCGCTTTTTATGAGGGACCCCCTTATATACCCCCCCTATACCTAGATTCCTAGATGATCCCAATATCTTTCCTCATCAGCTACGAAGGTCCCTACTAGGGATCCCTCCTCCTAATCCCTGAACCCTGAAATCTCAACCCTAAATCCAAAATCCTAAACCCTGAATCCTAAACCCTAAACCCTAATCCAGCCATAGAAGAGCCGTGACTGGCGGCTTTCTCCCAGGAAGAGTTGTTTGTAAGGAGGACTCCAAACTCGAGGGTGTGGAAGTTTCCAAAAATCTATGAGCTATAATCTAAACTCCTTAAAGGGGGGTTACATAGGGGATTATATAGGGGAATATTATAGGGGTTATTAAGGGGGATACTAGGAGTTTAGATTTTGGCTCATATGGGGGTTTCCCAAAATTAGGGGTACCCTTTTGGGTGTCCTTATAATAAGGATTATAGTACATTGGGGTCTATATTGGGGTCCTCCTACTTAAGGAAACTACCATATAGTCCCCCTTACTAAGGATCTTCACTATCCGCTTGTAATGTTTATATTTCACCAACTAGGGTCCCTAAGGGGGCCGCCCGTTCTGAGAAACCCTAAATCCTAAACCCAAACTTCCTAAACCTTAATAGGGTTGAGAATTGAGCGCCCTTATCCCTGGCTCTGATATTTTCCGGGCGTCGCCAGTCTCGGGCTTTAGCTTTTAGCTAGATTTTCTGCGGTTTCCGGGGCTTTGAATGTGGGGAACTCCAACTGCAAAGTCTGAACCCCTACTGGAACTCAATTCCAAACTCCTAAACTTCCTAGATCCTGAAATCCTTAAGCCTTAAACCCAAGACCCCCAAAGCCCTCAACACCCATCATCTGAGCTCCTAACTATGGGCCCCTGAGGCTTGTAGGGCTTGATCGGAGAAATAATGGTATGTAATGAGCCCAGGATTAAGGGCCCATACTAGAGGCTCATAGTTCCAACATTGGACACTTGTCCGAGCCCTGAACCCTAAACCCCAAACTCTGGACCATAAGCCCTAAACCCTAAACCTCTATAACTTGCTGAGTGATGGCCTGTCTCCGACCTTACCTGATAGTATTCCAGTTACCTTGTGCAGCTGGAAGAAGGTCCGCTAAAAAAAACTCTATAACTGCCTCTGTCAGGTGGCAGAGACTGCCATTCCAGGAGGTTGCTTGGCCGGCCCTTACGGTAAAAACGGTTGAAGGACAGTTTGTGTAGGGTTTAGGGTATCCCAAAGCTCATGCTTTCATGTACTCACCATTGAACACTTCATGTTTGAGAGGTTGGTCATTCTCCCGTCTGTAGCCCGCAACGTTGAGGTTGCTTTCAATGCCGAGCAGTCCCTGGAAGACCAGAAGGAGCCGACTGCACGATGTAGCTTTGGGGGGTCGTAAATGTAGCTTTCGGGATTTTATTGTATTCAAACCTAAATAGGGCACTGGGGGTCAGGGTTTTTGGCATTGGGTGTACAGTAACTGTTTGAAACAATAGACCAATCCTAGGTTCTCACTGATGAAATAAGCCTAGAAAACTGTCCTGTCCCCTGCTGGTTATTTTGTTTGCCTTGTTGCAGCTCCCCACTGCCACGACTTGAAACAGGATCTTCTGGACATTTGGGGGTGATCGTGGCATTTGAGGAACATGAGGGGACATATTGAATTCTCAGGACTAGCACCTAAGAGGAGCTCGAAATTCAAGAAGGATGCCGGAAGGATTCAATCCGTCGGCTCACTTTCCACAGCTTGCATTCCGCTATTGCCGAAACCCCAAATTCCTGCATACCCACGACATTCATGACTCACGACTTGCTCGGCTTTTTGCACCCGCAGCTTTGAATTTAAAGGTACATGTAGGCAGGCGCAATCAACATGGGATTCCTATGACTACGTTGCAATCATCTGAAAACCAATCACTGCTGTTCATGGTGAGGCGGCTTAGGGGTTAGGGTGCCCTATGGGAAGACATGGCTCAGAGTTTGCCGCTCCACAGTAGAGTTGTATTCCCGACTAACCCCCAGCAAGTAAAAGTAGGCTCTGGTAGTAGGTCCAGGTAGTCCAATATGGCCTAAAAACAGGACGAACACCATGGAGACGGGGAGCTGTCGCTTGGATGTAGCGAAGATGGAGCAGGTTTCCCCCACCACTCAGAAGAATCATCACATATGCCTCTTGATGGTGAGGTGCGGTTTGGGGTTGTTGCACCGGAGCTGTAATCGTCAACATCAGGCTCTCAGGCCTTGTTGTTTTAACTGACCAGCGCGTCCGTCCAGGTTCAGGTTCAGGATTGCAGAGCAACACCAGTCCAAGGATTGATATGCAAGCGCCAGAACACTCAGTGCCACAATGGATCAGCATGAGTCGTTCCCCATTGAAGTAAGAGGCTGCTAAACAGCTACTCGAGTTTTGTCCTGACTTTGCATGCATGGCCTCAGGTTCAGATCTGCGCGCTAGGGGTTGGGCATCTTTCTGCAGCAGGGTTTCTCGAACGTTTGGCCTTGCAACCCGACAGGGCCATAGGACAGCAGCTGCAAGCACAAAGATCTAGAGAAGAACACATCGACTTGTTTCCAATAAGTCCCTTTAGAATTATGAGAATGTAAAGATCATGCAGAAACCATACTAGTTCGTTATAGCGTTTGTTGGGACTTGATTGCGGTGTCTTAGTCAGGGTAGCCATGAAATGCTCAAATGAGCAAGTGTCCGGATTGAAGGCCGTAGATGCGGTATAGAAGCTTTGCTTGTCTGACCTCAAACTATCCCTAACTCAGGAAGTAGCGAAAGCATACCCAGCACTAATAGGGGAAGCATAGATGATATGCATCCCATTTTGTGCGTGCACGCTGCAGGTCTATATGCACACGTGTTCTGTACGTATACGCATACATCAGTATATGCACCATGGATGCGCCTCTCGCAACTTGTTGGACGAAATCAACTTACTTGCATTCAACCCCTAAGTTCTAGTCCGCATGATTTAGGCTCCCCCTGCAAGAAGCCGCATTATCAGTTGTGGCCTCTATGGGCCCTAAGCCCTAAACCCTCATTCTCGAAGCCATCGGCTCAAGTGCAGGGCCCAGACGACACGCGCTCGAACAGATCTGGATAGTCAAGGATGGTGTAGTTTTCCGCAGAAAAGTATATGAGGAATATGAGGGTTGCAAGGGTGTGAACGTCCTACGTAGCTTTCCACACTAGACGCACTGGTTCTTAGTAGGGGATAATTAAGGGAATATAATTCCGATATAACAACTACATGGCTGTATAATATATTCCCATATTCCCTACGAAGAACCAGTAAGTTTGTTTCGATTTAGGATTCAGTCCTGTCCCCTTTCCATCCCAGATGTTTGCACCCTAGATCCCGCGCACAGCCCTAAGCCTCATGAGATTTGGGGCACGCATGGGCCGGGAACTGCGGATTCCACACCATAAGGGTTTAGGGCTTAGTTTTATGATCCCCATCTAAGACCAAAGGGGGCTAAGGGGACCCCAGGTAGTCCCGTTCTAATTTAGAAGCCTGAAATATTGCAAGATGTTCGTCTCAGAACCCTGTTATAATTCAAGTACAGGATATAAACACTTTTCAAACAGACCTCAACATTATGTATGCCCCTACATCATTCCCTTTTGAATCCCTAGGCCGCTAGGTTCCCCAAACCCTGAACCCTAAGCCTTGAACCCTATTTCCAGAAGCTTCGGCATGGCTTCAGCACTCCAGCGCTGGGGTGTGCGCCATCTGTGCAGGCAAAGCATCTTGACTGCTTAATTTCTCAGCTTAGGGTTTATATAGGCGTTATGCTTTACATATGAGATGTGGTTTATATAGGCATTAGGGTTTATGTAGGTGTTATGGTTGAGGGTTTAGGGCCGTTGTTTTCCAAATCCTGGGTGTGCACTTGACACTGCAATGTGGGATTTTTTTCAAAATGCGGGGCCCCGAGGCACGACGGATGTATGGGGGCTGCAAGGAGATTTGTCGTGAGATCCTACTTTTCGGTTAGGTAGGCATCTTGTTGAAAATGTGCCTTGCAATTCCTCTCGAGGTTTGGTTGCTGTTCTTTGGGGCACTTTGCAGGCCAGCTGGTCAGAATCCCTATGTCCAGTTAGGTCATAGGTCGTAGGTCCCTTATATATCCTAAGCGCCCCTAAGATACACACCAGCATTTTGAGAGACCTCGCAATGAGCCGCCTGATGAGGTCAAACCTGTTTGGATCTTTGCCTTGCGCTCCCTTCCCTTGTTCCTCCCTACTTTCCGGCAGCAAAGACCTACGTTTACTGACAACAGCGGCGCCCTACCGTCAAAGAGCTAGAATCACACTAGGTGCATCCTGTATTCCAGACCCTGAGCTTCAGCAAATCCAAACGGCCCTGAGCCCCGATCTACGCTCTAAGCCTTCGACCGAAAAGTCCTTTTGGGTCAACCGTGAACACTTACCCATGAGTTCATACATCCCCTTAATATGAAATAGCCCTTCTACATGCCCTACAGCCTAACCCTACACCAAAAAAACGCTTAACCCTGAACCCTCAGGCTGTAGGCAGCTCTGTGCCTGCGCGGCACACAGTAGCCGCGTACGGCGCGTATATGGAAGTCGGGTTGACTCTTGGACAAATCTAGCGTGGGAGGCTCGGGCAGAGCTGAAAATCATATGACTATTACATGAGTTTGTCTATATAAACACACACAGACCTGAAACGTGAGTTTAGCTCTGCTTGAAACCTGAACCACACCAGAGCTGTTTATTCTGTAGAGTTTCAGGGTTGAGGCTTCAAATCGTGTAGTCGAGTGCAGGGTTCAGGTATTGGGGTACTTCAGCATCAGGACACTTTGCAAATGGGGATGAACACAGAAGAACCCCTGTCAAGTTCTTTACAGGGGCTCCATGGAGAGTGTCATCGCTTATAAAGCATGTTCTCATTTCCTACCTGTTGGGTCCCTTTTCGGCCTCACATTGTAAGAGGCCTTGAGCGGTTTGGGGTTAGTGGCCGTGCAGCTTAGCTCAGCTAGTTTACCCTAGGGATCCAAATAGCCCAATGTAGGTAATATTTAAAGACTTTGGGGCCCAATGCAGGGATTATTTACATACATGGATCCCTAGGGTTACATAGGAGCCTCGTCTATGTGGTGCCAGGGTTCGCAAGTTTTCTTGAGAAGCATCCTCTCCTGGTGGAGTGCCGCCAGTCAATGTTCAGCGTAAAACACACACCAGGTTGAGGTTGCAAGGCACAGGCCGGACTAAGGCTTTGGGAGGTTTAGGTTAGGGTGTAGGGTCATCTGAATAGATCTTCCATTCAGCCAGATCTAGGTTGTGTCCTACCAAACATTGGCAAGTGTCCCTGAGTGTCTAGCTTCCTTGAAGATCGACAGCCGGTTAAGACCTGCACTCGCATTTTCAAGTCCCAACCTATAGTCAAGGACGCAACATGACCGTGCATTCCAGATTACATTTACGGAAATCTCGCCTTTTAGCATTGGAGTAGGCCTCATGCTATGAGCGGCAGCCTCGAAATGGTAGTTTCCATAGATGGGGTCCCTAATTTAGACCCTAATTATACTCCTCAAAAATGCCTCCCTGACTTGTGGGATCTCTAATTACTATAGACCACTATATTCCAAGCTTCTACTTCATTCTCTTTTCCATTTGGCTCTCCATTGTTTGGGGGTACTTTCCCCAAACCCAATATCCCCCTACATATCCCAACATTGCCCAACATAACCCCTTAATCCATGTCACCCTAAACCCTAAACCCTGAACCCTAAACCCTAAACCCTAAACCCCCAAATTCCGTCCCAGGATGCTGTTCCAAATTTCTCCCTGCCTCTCGCTGAAGCCCGCAAGTGGCCAGGGGAGCGCTGAGGGATACAACACTTGACACGGTCAAAGGTTTAAACCGCTTGGAGATTGGGTCCTTGCATCCAATAATTGCTTGTTAGTGAAAGCAAACCATGCTCATATAGGGTTATAAAGGGTTGATATAGGGGTTTTGCTGGGTTTATTTGTCAGATCCTTATTGTCAAGGCATGCATTTGTGCATGCACTGAGCAAACATTAGCCTGATCTTCTGGATATGTGCAAGCATGTAGGTTCCAGTTTCCCAAACAGCGCCAAGCCCTGTACTACAGGGAGCTGAGATTGCGACGGGATGTCATGCCTTTCTCTGACGAACAAGATGGAGAAGAAACAATTCTAAGCCTCAAACTTCTATGTTACAATCCCCGTGAATCCTTTGTATAAGCTCAGTTGCCAGTTCATGTTTCTTGTTTTTCACTTGATACTCGACTTGCTGAGAATGATTTCGGCCCTTGTACTACAGCTCGGAACACCTTCCAGGAGTATCCACTGCAGCTCTGCCACCATGCGCCCTTTGGCTGCGCCCATGAATGGCCAACGCAATTGCACTGTGTCGAGTAGATCCAATGGGTGGCAAATACTTAGTAGGGGTTATATTGGGGTTATATAGGGATCATGGAAAAGAAAATGGAAACTACTGTGGTACATTGGGGTTGTATAGGGATAAGGGACTGCGAATGAAGCAAGATGCAAAAGTCAATCCGCGCTGGAAGCTGTTGTTCGGGCTCATGTACTTTGCCTTAACTTCCCGGAGTGGGTCTCGGGACGGGCCTGTGTATTGGAGATCCCAGAGTCGAGATTGAATCAATCGGAAGGGGCGGGATTAGTGTGTACCTCGAGGAAACAGAACTAATTTGGTATTAGTATCTGACGACGAAACAAAAATAAATCCCATGCCCCGAAGAATAATCCGTTCACCGCCCCTAATCATAGATAGTACCATCATATATGAGGGTGAATCTTTATCATTGGGGGGAACGGGGAGTCTTGCTTTTGGCGGGAGTGAATTGCCCTTGCATCTCCTAGTCAGACGAACGCGTGGTCATACCATGCACAATTAACCCTTTTCACTTATCCTTTATTTTCATCCGCCCTTCGCATTGCTTTAAGATGCGAATGGGATTCCTAGAAGAAGGGCAGGAAGCTCAGCTGGCTTGCTTCAGGTTCTTAGAGTTTCGCTTAAGGATGACTTTTGCGGCTTCCTTGTAGAAGGCTCGTGCTGCGAGGTGCTGACCTCATTGAGAAAGG